TTGTAATCAATGCTATCCTGACCTTGAGCTTTACTCTGGCCTCCCAGAGAAGGAGAGAAATTCAAGGACATCCAATACAGGACAACTGAGGAAGAAGAGGAGACTTTTTCACATTTGAATAAGACAATTTGAGCAACCAACTCAGTAATTTAGTGTATTACAATATAAAATAAAAGTTTTACTCCACCAATAACATAATACAATCATAAATACATATAGTCCTTTAGATGTAGAAAGGAAATCTTAGTATATCTATGTAGAGAAAACAACCACTATGCTTTCGTACTGGGAAATTTCAACCCATCTTTACCAACTATAACTGTTCCTGCACCTGTGAACAATTGATTCCAGGACTCCTGTGGATTCAAAAAATCTCTGGGTGCAGAAGTCCCTTCTATCAAATGGCATCATATTTGCATACAACCTGTGTACATTGTCCCGTATGCATTAAATCATTTCTAGATTAGACACTGTAGCTAATACAAAGTAAATGCCAAGTAAATAGCTGTTATGTTCTATTTTATAGGGGTATTGACAAGAAAAGTGACTGTACATGTTCAATAAAGATTCACTTTTCCAAAATATTTTAATCCATGCTTAATCCAATCCACAGATCTGGAATCCACAGATTATAGAGGGCCAAGTGGAGATGGGTCCACCAAACAAAATATTAGTAGAAACAAAATATTAGGTTTTTAAAATTTCAACAACATAATTAACAATCTTTTTTTATTGGCCACATATGGAAATTTGCACCTCATAGTTCTAAAACAGACCATTTCCTTGTGCACTGGAAATGCTAACAAAAAATGAGGAAGTCTGAGACCACACTGCAAGTCTCAACTCCTATCAGATAATTCTTATTGCACCAGTGTGTTCTCTGAGCACTTATTCAGTTAAGTTAAATTATAATTCAATAAAAGATAAGCAAATGTTGCTATTCATATATTTGGGCATTTTTTGAAAAGCTACTAAATAACCTCATGCAGCAAAGAAAAAAATGTATCAGAAATGAAAAGCTACTTATAAATGATAGTGAAAATGCTACATGTTAAAATGAGTTATCTATTGAAACCATACACAGAGGAAAGCATGTAGGGATGATGTAATGATGGGGTTTTTGTTTTGATTTCTTTTTGGAAGAACTGGAGTTTGAACTTAGGAACTCTCACTCGCTAGACAGGTACTCTACCATTTGAGCCATGCCCCCAGCCTCTCTACTCTATCTTTTTTTGTGTGTGTTGTAGTTATTTTTCCCATAAGATCTTGTACTTTTTGTTTGGGGCCAGCCTCAAACCATGATCCTCCTACCTATGCCTCCAGTCACACTCAGCATACTTGTTGCAATGAGGGTCTTTTTTTTTGCCTGGGCTGGCCTTGAACCACTATCTCCCCATCTCTGCCTCCCAAGTACCTGGGATTACAGGCCTGTGCACCATGCCTGGCCCAGAAAGCATGTAGTTTTAAATGTTTATATTAGAAAGTGAAAATGTCCCCAAATCAATGACATAGTAACTGAAATAAACACATTAGAAAAAGAACAACACATTAGACCTAAAGGTAATTGAATGGAGGCAATAATAATGTTTATGAGGAGAAATTAATGAAACAGAAGATAAAGTAGAACACAGAGAATTAACAAAAGGCTTAAGAAATGGAGGCTCATAAAATAGACATGGTACTGGTAATAGTAACTGCATATAAAAATAGAGAAGAATAAATAATATCATTATAATGGAGAGGGATACAATTATAGATCCAGTGAAGGAAGGATGCCATGAGTAAATCATTTTTAAAAACCTGTCATTAAATTTTGGTTGGGGTGCCTGCCTAGCAAGTATAAGGCGCTGAATTTGAATCCTATTACCACCACCACCGAAAAAAAAAAAAAAACTTGTCATGAAATTTACAACTGTGATAAAATAGTCTTGAATTGGGTTCAAGGAGAAAAAATACTCTAAATCACCCTAAAATAATTAAATTGATTCCTTAAAAAATTTCCTTAGTAATGAAGGGAGGCACAGATGACTTTTTATATGATTTCTAACACTCTTTTGGGGATTGAATAATTCCAAATATCAAAATTATACAACTGTTTGGAGAATCAAAAGACAAAGAACTGTCTTTGGACCAGTTCAAAGAACATATAGACTCTGACACTCAAAGTAGAGAAAGTCAGTTTTAGAAAGGAAAAACAATTTTACTTTCAAGACAGATGAAAAAAATTCTACACAAAATGTTAGCAACAAGATATTTGAAAATTTATTAACATGATTGGTTCAGTCATCTTTCTGCTACTGTAACAAAATACTGGAGATAATCAATTTCAAAGAGAAAGGGTTGTTCTGGCTTGTGGTTTGGAGGTTTCAGTCCATGGCTGGTTTTTGTTGTTGCTTTGGGCCTGTGGTGAGGCAGTACATCAAGGTGTGAGCACGTGACAAAGCCTACTTGCCTTGTGGCCAGATCAAAGGGAATGAAAAGGAAAGGGCTGGGGTCCCAATATTCCATCAAAGGCACAGGCCCAGTGGCCTAACTTGTACTAGGCTCAACCCTTGAAGGTTCCACCATCTCCCATAACACCATGGGCTTGGGACAAAGCCTTCAACTCAGGGGCTTCTAGGGAATATTCTAGATCCAAACTGTGGCTATCATTCATCATATTACAATGTAGAGGAAAAAGGATACATGGTTTTCTCTTTTTTTTGAGGTACTGGGGCTTGAACTCAGGGCCTTCACCTTGAGCCACTCTACCAACCCTATTTTTGTGTTAAGTATTTTTGAGATAGCACCTCATGAGCCATTTGCCTGGGCTGGCTTTGAACCATGAAGGCTTGAGCCACCAGTGCCCAGCTGCTTTTCTCTTTTGATGCAGAAATGTATTTGATAAACTTAAATATGTATTAATTGGAAAAGTAAGAACAGAAGAAAATCTAATACGGGATGTCCATTCCAATGCTATAGTTAACAATGAAATATCAGAAGCATTTTTTTAAAGTCAGCAGGATATGAATGTTCACTGCCACTACTTCCACTCAACCATATTTTAGGGGGATGGTTCTAGAATGCTTCCAAGCTTGATGGGGAATTTAAATTTTTAAAAATTTTCTAGTAGCCATTTTAAATATGTTCATATCATAATAGAATGAAAATAGAACTTTTGTGATATGACAATTAAAATCAAGTGTAGTCCTACTCTAAAATTGTGTTTAATGGGGCAATTTTTTATACAGCTTCAGTGTTTAGGTTGTAAATTAATTAAGCATTCATTTCCTCAGTAGCATTAACTGCATTTCAAGAGCTCAGTGGTCACATGTGGCTCACGGCTGCCGTTATATTCTGCTCATCACCAGCACACCAAGGTGATGAAATAACTAAAAGTGTAAAGTACTATAAAGAAGCCTCAGTGTCACCATGCACACATGATAGGATAGTTTACATGGAAATCCACCTAAATTAACAGTTATTTAAACTTTTAGAAGATTATAGTTAGGTAGCCAGGACAGGGATCCATATATAAAACTCTTTCTCAGTTCTACCTGTTGTGCTGGTGGAGTGGCTCAAGTGGTAGAGAGCTTGCCCAGCAAGCATGAGGCCCTGAGTTCAAGCCCCATACCACATAAAAAGAGAGAGAGGGAGAGAATCAATTCTACCTATTAACTAGCAATAAACAGTTACCTTCTTTGATAACCAACCTGAAAGATCTATCCACACATTTATGAGAAATCACATTTCCAATTCTGACAATTACTTGTTTCTCGTGGAGTGTACTTATCTTATTGAAAAGGAATTTTTATATCATGGATCCTAACCCACAATTAGCAATATGTCTTTTAAGGGCCTCCCTCTACATTTCTAATTTTCAGAGTTTGAAGGACACATAATCTTTAAAAAAAAAAAGTAATGTTTGTTAGTCTTTTAAGGTTAGCCAAAGAAATGAATCTTTTAAGAAATCCTCTCACAATATCATTTAAAAAATTGCTCGTTGGTTTTCTTGAAAAGCTTACCTTTCACAATCAAGGCTTTAATCCATCAGGATTTGATTTTTGTATATGGAGTGAGGAAGGGATTCAACTTCATATCTCTGCAAGTCAACCAGTTGTCCTATTACATTTCATAGCATTCTTTCCTAGTGATTACGATGCCACATCTGTCCATTTTCCATATGGTGGGGGGTGTTCCTCCAGGCTCTCTATTCTGTTTAATTGGCCATGTGTCTACCTCTGCATCCAGCATACTTCATACAACACATACATACAGCTGCACCGTATTCATAACTGTTAGAGCAAGATTCCCTGTCATCTTCTCCATTCTCAGATGTCCACTGGCCTCTCTTAGACTTTTCTTTTTCCATTTATATTTCAGAGTTGAGATTTTGATGACTGTGGCATTGAATCTGCTCATCAGTTTGAGGAAAACTGAAGTACTTGTAATAGTGGAGGTTCTTATCCAGGAGTGGACATTTATTTCTATTTATTTAGGTCTTCTGTGTCTTCAAGTATTTGCATTTGAGCCTTGAACGTCTTTTGTTAACATCTTAGATTGGTGCCTATTGTTTTGTTTCTGGTATAAACTTTTACTTATTATCAAGACAGAGATGGGTGCCTCCTAGGTGTCAAAGGCAAAACTGGAGCCATCTATCCAGACACTGTGCCTGCTTTGTGACTTCCTACACCACCTCACGTTTTTTCATTTGTACATCTAAATAAACCTGGGATCTATTAACTCCTGCCATTTGCTCCCCTCCCAACCCCCACCCCCGCCAACTCCAATTTACTCTGCAAGCAAGGACTGCTATGATTTCTAAATGCACCTGAGACAGGTCCATGTTTCCCTCCAAACTTGCCAGAGGTTGCTCTTTCAACTCCAGGAGTCCAAGCTTGTTCCCTGCATGTCATTAACATCACAGGCTTCCTATCCAGCTGTTGCCTTGTATTTTATTAACTTATTCATAAAAACCTAAAAACTGTACATAATAATGGAGTACTATGTGATGTTTTGCCACATGTATACCTTGTGGACTGTTTAAATTATATTTATCACCTCAAACACTTGTCATTTCTTCTTTTTTTGGTAGTACTGGGGTTTGAACTCAGAGGTGCTCTACCACTTGAGACACTCCACCAAGCCTTGTTTGTGTTGGAAATTTTTACCTGGGGAAATATTTGCCTGGGGCTGGCTTCAAACCACCACCCTCCTGATTTCTGCCTCTTGAGTAACTAGGATTACAGGCGTAAGCCACCAGCACCTGGTATGTCATTTCTTTATGGTACAAACATTTAAAATCCTTTCTTCTAGCTTTTGGAGAAATACAGTACACTGTCTTTTTAATTTTGACTTATAATACATTAATAATACAAGTGAGTTTCACTGTGATAATATCAATAATTCAATATGTCTGTCGTCATTGCCCTCCTGTGCACCTGCACATTAGTGTCACTCTGTCTTCCTGCAACTTAGTTCCCACCAGTCAGTCTTTCTGTCCTTGTGCCCACTATACTGCCAGCTCTGGTAACCACCATTCTCCTCCCAACTCCTATGAGGTCAGCTTTTTCAGAATCCATATGTGAGTGAGATCATGGAGCAGTGAAGACACAAACTTCAGACTAGGAGAAAAATATTTGCAAACTACACATCGGACAAGGGGTAATTCCCAGACTATCTGAGGAACCCACAAAATAGCAAAAAATAAATAACCCAATTTAAAAATGGGCAATAGACCTAAATTGACATTTCACGAAAGAATACAGACAAATCACCAACAGCTATGTGGAAAAAAATGGCCAACATCACTAATCGTTAGAAATGCCAGTCAAAACCACAGTGAGATATCAAGTGTGTCATCACACACCGCACAGTGAGCAGCTGCAGAGTTTCTGATCATTCTTCCATGAGCCACCCCCATCCCACAGTGGAACAGCAAGTAGATCCGGCTGTGCCCAGCAGTTACTGCCCTGCTGATGAGGAGGGTAGGGAGTGCCCTGTGGGGCAAGTCTTCACTGTGTGACCTTCTGTAAGTTTCCTCACTTCTTGGGCTCTCTGTTTCCTCATTTATAAAATGAGACTAATGATAATAGCTACCTCATAAAGAGGTTGTGAATCATTGAATACTCCTGTGAAAAAATTCCTGAAACAGAAGCTTTCAAATGTAAGGTATGCTTTATGAAATGGAATATTTACTTTTGCATTTTTCTCACTGCCCCCCCCCATCCCCAGGTAATCTGTGTCTGGGTGTCCACCTCTCACCATCGCTGGGCTTTTGTATGTAGGCTCTAGGGGGACATATGTGTTTTTCTGGGGGACCTGGTCGGGTTGGAGTCCCATATGCCTGGCCACCCTCCTCAACCCCCAAGTTTCTGTCCTTTCCTATCAGGGCCCCTCTTTCACATGGGGACAAAGGCAAGGGCAAGTCTAGGCTACTGTACCCCGGAGGATAAGAGAGGTGTGAACCCCAGGAGACCTCTACTTGTCCAGCTTAATGCTAGCCCTTCCTCCAGCACCCCTGCCCTCCTTTGTGGCTGACTGTCCCAGTCTGGGGGTGGTGAGCCATCCTCCCGCTGTCCCTGCTCCCCTGATGGTAGCACAGGGGTGGGTGGGGGTAGGGAGGGAAGGCCTGTCTGCACAGATGGGTCTAATCTCCTTACAGCCTCTGATGTCCTAGTGGTTGCTGCCTGTGTTGCCTGTGGAGGGAGCCGCCTGCATAGGGCTGCAGCCAGGGTCCTTCTCCACACCCATCCACCAGCTCCCTGTCCTGCACATGTAGGACCTGCACGTGATCTGCCCTGGAGGATTCTACCTCTGTCCCAGTCTTGATCCTTTGAAGAGATGCTGGCTAAAGCCACATGATGGACAGCTTTTCTTGGGGAATTCCTGACTATGGACTGTACCAGAATCTGGTGTGTGTGTGTGTGTGTGTGTTGCATGCAGTGTGCAGGCAGGTGTACTGTATGGGCATGTGTGCACACATACATGTGCCCATGAATGTCCACATGTGTGAGCATGCATGAGCACTAGTGTGTGCACATGCGTGCGTGTGTGTGGAGTCTTGTGTGTACATGTGTGAACATGTTTGAGAATCTGCACACGTGTGCATTTCCTTACATGTGCATGTTCCTCTCTATGCACGTGTGTGTTCCTCTCTGTGCATTGTGTGTGTGCTCCTATGTGCACATGTGTGTGCCTCTCTCTGTAGGTGTGTGCCTCTGAGCATTGTGTGCCTTTCTGTGCACATGCATGTGCTTCTCCATGAAACTGTGTGTGCCTCCCTGTGCACGTGTGTGCTTCTGTGCATTGTGTTTGCCTCTCCTGTGCACATTTGTGAGCCTCTCCGTGCACGTGTGTGTGCCTCACCATGCATATGTGCATGTATTTAGATAGAGGAACCTGCATGCTGCTGCTCATCTGAGTGGACCCTTGTTCTCCACCCCTCTTCCTCTGCACAGCTCAGTCGCCTTTTCTAGATTCACAGGACTCTGTTTGCACCTTAAAGAGAAACCAAGTGTGGTCCCTCAAACCCTGCTGATCAGCCTGGGTGAGGTGTTATCCCCATTACTGTCCAGTGAGTCAGACAACTCACCCCATGTTTGGATGCCAGTCAGATGGAGGGGAACACAACAGGACTGTGAAGGAGATGAACCTGAGTTTGAGTCCCAATCTACTCCTGGCTTTGCAGTCTCATGGAGGGGTAATAAGCGTGGCACCCTGAGTCTCTGGCCCCTGTGTCAGGTGGGACCCCCATATCCCCCTCTCTGAAGGATAGGCCCTGAGTGAGTAAGGCTCCTCACAGACCATGTGGTCCTGTCCTCACCCCAAGAATGGGGCCTGAGGTTTCTGAGTTACCAGGCAAATCCCTGGAAGCAATGACCCTGAGTTTGGATCCCATATAGCGAACAGAAACACAGAGTCCAGGTGGCTCAGGGTTCTCCCTAGCCGTCACAGGTCCCATGTTCCTTCCATCCTGCTGTGCTCGGGGATGGGCTCACAGCCTGTGGGGGCAGGAGGCGTGGGGAGGGCAGGAGACTCTGAGTAAATAATGCAGAGCAAGCCGTGCTGATTGGCTTCGGAGGCGGATACTTTGTCTACATAAATGGCAATCGCATCCTCTGTGCCTTTTAACTGTCACCAAGGAGAGGAGGAAGAGCGGTCAGAGAGGAGGCGACTCCCGGCTGCTTGTGAGTACTGCTCTTTGTCTATACAGCTCAGGGCTGACCCTTGTGCCCAGCTCTTAGATGTCCACGTCCCTGGGGCTAGAATGGAAGTTTGCAGTGGTTCTGGCTGTGTCAATTCCCTGTCCATCAGGGAGAAGGGGACACTGCTGGCTGCAATGACTGAGCACCCAGTGTACACAGGTGGCAGGGCTGCTTTGAGAACTTTCTGGGGAATTAGGTGACAGTGTAGATCAGCCTCATTTTTTTTTAGTCATCTCTAAGTGACAAATCCAGCAAAGTGCTGGGATCTTCTGATAACTTTTTAGCCCTTATTCTGACTTACTTTGGCAACATGACCAAGTGAGGGGATCACTGGACTCCAGGACATGTGGGGCCCTTGAAGGCAGTGGGATAGGTGGTAGAAGGAGAAGGCTGTGGGGTCCCCAGTCCTGGATGTGCTCTATAGGTAGAAGAGAGCCAACAGCATTTTCCTACAAAGTTGCAGGAAAAGCCAGGCCCGATCTTATCAAGGCCAGGGCACACAGTAGGTACTAGCAATTGGCAGCTCTGTGATGGATGAGCAGGTGCTCTTTGGGGATATTAAAGATGCCAGAGAGAAACAGACTCTGTGTTTGGGGCCACCCAAGCTCCAACTGGCAGCCTGCAGCATTCCTAGGCCAAAACCAGCAGGCACCCCAGTGCAAAGAGGGTGTAGTACGTGGTAGAGTGTCTGAATATTTTTGAAGGAGACAAAATCATGTCATCTGCTGTGGTCTCCTCTCTTTTTTTCTGGGCACACAGTGGGTGGACCACTGCACACAGCTGGTACCAATAAAATAATGAAAATCAAACCTCCTTTCAAACGTCCAGACTGCCAAAGAAATGGCTGTGGCTATAATTAGCATTTATTTGAGCTGTTCATTATTCTGACGTTTTTGAGCCTGGGCCCCTCAGAAACTCAACTTGCGGCAAGTTTGGGGAAATACTACAGGGAAATTAGGCTGGTGGATATTTTAAATGAGAGGCCCTGGTGTTTTTCTTGGTATTCGTAGCATTTTTGAAAGAAGATACTCGTGGGACATTAATGCACCGCACAGGCCTATGGAACAGTGATTGGCACATGGGCTCAAAGGAATGGTTAAAACTCCACTGTGTTCTGAGGGTCCTCAGGCCAGAGGGAAACAGGTTCATATTCCAGTCTAGACAGATCCATGTGCATAAACCACTTTTGAGCTGCATAGACTTGGAAAAACCACTTGCTCCCCTGCATCTATGTCCTTATTTCCAAAAAGGGGTAACTATGTGCTCTACGGAGTCAATGCATAGAGAACAGACAGGGGCTTCCACCACGCCCTGTGTACAGAGACTATTGGTCACATTTTATTGTGGAAGAGGGAGGGACAGGCACTCCTCTCAGGCCACAGAGGGAAGCAGAGATGTTCAGCCTGTCTGTTTCCATGGGGATCTGCTCAGGCAGGTGGTGGCAGACGTGGGGGCTCAGTCCTCTTCCCTGAAGCCATGGTTTCCTGTGTGTGAATGGTCAGAATCCTTGGAACTGCACTTGGTCTTGCAGACACAGCTTCCCCCATTATAGGTGGGGGCCCCTGTTAGGGACTGGGGTATGTCTGTGGCTCTCAGGCTATTGTGACAGTGCTGGATGCCCAGGACAAAAGTGTAAGGGGCGGAGAGGATGGCACCCACTTGTGCACTTGCTGGTTGTGTGACCTTGGTATAACAGCAATAATAATATCTGGCAGGGGTTTTAAGAGTGTTGAATGAAGCCCAGTGCTGGAGGCTTATGCCTATAATCTTAGCTACTCAGGAGGCAGAGATCAGGAGGATCATGGTTGGAAGCCAGCCCTGGTAAATAAGTTCACGAAACCTTATCTCAAAAACACCTAACACAAAAAGGGCTGGCAGAGTGGCTCAAGGTGTATGCCCTGAGTTCAAGCCCTGGTACTGGAAAAAAAAAAAAGAGAGAGAGAGAGAGAGAATAGATTCCAGAGCAGAAGTTTAGGGCAATACTGATTTGTCTGGCTTCTTGGTCCATAAAATGTGGCAAACAAATGTCAGTGTATTTGGGGGATTGAACTTGAAAGCATCTCAAATGTAGGCTTCTTAGCTACACCAGGTGACAGTCCAGCAACTGTGCAAAAGAAGGATTAATGAGGATTTGTAATGAATGGAAAAGCCAATGTTTATCACTGACTGCTTATGAAAAAAAATTTTTTAAAAATCCTCAAAAGGGTGCCAAAGTATACCACGTAGATAGATTCACAGCAGTATCAGGTATGCATAATAGACAATAAACCAGCAGATGACATGGCAGGATGGTATGACTTCTATGAAAAGAGGCAACCAACTAGAACATAGCTTGAATACATGGCTGTGATCCTTTGTAAACTATTAATGTGACTTCAAGAGCATAAGTGAATAAGAAAAAACTTGAGGGGGAAAAAACAAGTGAAAAAATGTGTTTAAGGGGGAGAGAGATTGCTTTCTATCTGAGAAAACTTTCTCCTGGCATAATACTAAAATAAAATAGGAAAAAGGAAAAAGTTTAAATGAAAATTATTTGGTGGTTACCAGGCACCAGTGGCTTATTTCTGTAATTCCAGCTACTTGGGAGACTGAGATCAGAAGGACTGTAGTTTAAGGCCAGCCTGAGCAAATTGTTCTCAAGACCCCATCTCCAAGATAACCAGAGCACAATGGACTGGAGGTGCGGCTTAAGCAGTAGAGCACCTGCTTTACAAGTGCAAAGCCCTGAGCTCAAACTTCAGTCTTACAAAAAAAAAAATTATTACTTGGTGATACTTATTTAAAATTTAAAAAATAGCAAACATGAATAAAAGTGCTAAGACTTGAAAGATTTATTTTCAATTTCAACTTTGAATGGATGAGAAAAGCTAAGAGAGGGGGGCGTTCATGTTTATAATGCCCTGTCTGTAGCTTTCTTGTTCTTCTGGAAAGAAATTTAGCAACACGTAAAAAGAACTGTATGACTCACACCTATTAAGTGCACTGGGAATTAACATGGCCTAGGACCAGCTCTGGCTGGGGTCTCATGTGTCTGATACTGTGTACTGCCCTCTCATCCTGGGCCGTGCCATTCCTAAGAGCAAATGCCTGCCGACCAGTGGGATGCACACAGTCACAGGAAAACATGAGCATCCTGCTCCCTGGTCTTAAGAGCATCAAAGTGCATCATGTCTACATAATTCTGCACGTTGTAACTAGACAGCAGAGAAATGTCAAGTGCACATTCTCACTACAACTGTTTGAATTTTCTATAGTCAGGGCTAAATTGAAAAAATTTCAATAGCCAGCCATTCTATTTTTCTTTGGAAATTGTACAAGCTGTGGATTTTTTTAGCCCTCTCCAGCTTAGGGCACAGAATAGCGGCAGAGATGTGATTAGAAATAGTAGTATTTTCCCAGGATAGAGCTGAAAATCATCACTGCAACTTCTACAGAGTTCCAGGCCATTGTTGGCTATGAAAATATTTAGATAGGGCATTGTTTATTAAATAGGGAACAAGTAAGAAATAATGTCCAAATAGCCCCTCCCCAGAACCTGCTCAAGATCTTAGACTTCCAAGGACACTGGCAATTCAATGTCTGTGGTTTATAAGCCACACACAGTGTGATATGCTGTCATCACAGGCCAAATGGACCAAGGCAGGGGCTTGACCATGGTCGGTCACACCTTAGCAAAGAGTTGCCCAAGCCCATTCCCTTCTGGGCTCCATTTGAAATGAACTTGATCTCTCTGCAATCCAGGTACCAGGAAACTTCTGTGCCCGACATGATCCCTAGATGGCACTTGGGAACTCAGGAGTGCACCTGCCTCTCAGGGGGTAACTGGGTTGTCATTTCTAATGAGCAAGCTGCACTAGCCCAGCTTTTATGAGGCTTTGTCAACTCAGTGGAATTTTAAAATTTGTCAAGGATGCTCTGTGTGTGAGGTAGGGCTTCCTCTCCAGTGCCTCTGAGAATAAGGCTACCCAAGTTGAGCTGTGACCTGACCTTGCTAGCTGTGGGGTCTTGGTCAAGGTGCTTATCAAAGACCTATGTTTTGAAGGCTTGGTCCAAAGGGGCTGTTATCAGGAGGTGATGGAACCTTTAGGACTCTAGTGGGAGGGTCTTTATGTCACTGACGGAGTGCGCTTGAAGTGTACAGTGGCATCCTGATCTCTTCTTTCCTTCCTGGCCTCTGATGTGAGTCATTTGCTCCACCATGTGCTTTCACTGTGATGTGCTGCCTTGCCAGAGGCCCAAAACAAGGGGCCACTGGATCATGGATTGATTCAGCTTCTGAATCCTTAAGCCCAAATAAATCTTTTCTTTTTATAAGCTAATTATCTGAGGTATTTTGTTATAGTAATGTAATTTTATGAAGATTAAATAAGAGAATACATGTACAGAGTTTAACATAGTACCTGGCACATGTAAGGCAGATGCAAAGGTTTTCTTTAGCATGAAGGACAGGAAACCTGCCTTGGCTTTGCTACCAGCTAGCTCCAAATCTCCTAAGGCCCTTCATGTATTTGAGTTTCAGATTCTCCCCCTGTAGAATAAGGGTAGTAATACCACCTACTGAGAGGAGTATTATATGAGTGAAAGCCAGCATCCTACACGTCTGACTCTCCCTCTCCAGTCACTTGCAGACTGTGTTTCTCAGGCTGCTGAGACCTCAGGTTTCTGGAGGGCCTTGCCAATGGGAGGCCTCCTGGGAGTTCAGAAAGCAGCCCCGACCGCATACTCCCACAGGAACACACTGCTTTTTGTAGCTGGCCCATCCTCTGCGTCTGCTCTAGGCAAGCCTGACAAAGGGGTGACCTTGTGCTCTGCTCTGGCCCCTGGCCCCAGAAGCTCAGCTTGCTATGGAGCTCTGCCCTCTGGTCCGGGATAGAACTGGGATGTGGAGGCTCAGAGAGGTTCCCTAACCTTATCTGAAATCACTATCTGATAAGTAAGGAGGATAAAACTGACTATGGACTTTTCCCTCCCATGGGAAAATTTAGACAAACTTGCTTCTTTTTCTCAATAAAATACCTTTAGTAGAATTATATTAAAAAAAAGAATTATATTTCAATAAAGACCCAGTAAGAAAAGCAATTTTAAACTGTTTCTCTATATAATGGCAATTTACAAAAAAATACATTTGTTAATAAAATCCAAAATAAGAGAAAGTTGAATGCATATTATACTTAGGACAGATTGAAACAGATTAAAGTTACTGTGTATAAAAATCTTTTGCTTCAGTCCTAAGTAGAGGCTGATTCTTTTCTTTCTTTCTTTTTTTGTTGGGACTGGGATTTGAACTCAGGGCTTTGCACTTGCAAAGCCAGGTGCTCTACCACTTGAAACACACCTCCAGTCCATTTTGCTCTGGTTATTTTGGAGATGGGGTCTCTCAACCTATTTTCCTGGGCTGGCCTCAAGCCAAGATCCTCCTGACCCCAGCCTTCCAACTAAGTAGGATTATAAGTATGAACCATCAGTGTCTTTTAGAGGCCAACTCTTGAAGCCTTCATTTTACTAAAACTTGGTTGAGATAAGAATATTGGAAAACTGGTTTTCTTAGAAGTGATAGCAAAAGAGATGGGAGGAGAAAGGAAAGAGAACAAAAGCAACAGTTCTATTACATTAGCTCTACAATAAGAATCATCCTAAAAATGTTTACATACATGTATATGCATATGCAAAAAAGCCTTAAATTAAGCATGCCATAAATTTAAGCATACATAGATGTTTTAAATAATTTTATTGGTATATAATAGTTGTACAGGGGGATACCTTGTGATATTTACATATGTGCTTACACTGTATCTTAATTGTATTTACCCTCTCCATTGTTCTCTTCCCCTCTACTCCTTTCTTAGAACAATTTCAACAGGTTTCATTCTTCTATTTTCATATATGGATACAAAATACATCCACCATATTCCCCTTCATTCTTCCTTTTCTTGTGCCCACCCCCCACACTGATACTCACCCCCAGAATAGACTTATTTTCACCTCCCGCCCTTCATTTTGTTTAATTAAGTATGTATTGATAGTCACGGAGGTTCCACCTTGGTGTTTCAGGTCTGTATATATCATTTTTTAATCGAGTTAACCCCCCCATTACTTGCTCATTCTCATCACAGTGCTCCCCTAATATTCAACAGCTTGCAGTACAATGCATTATATTATATTCATATATAGATGGATTGTTTCACTGTTTTTCATTCTCTAGCATTTTCTTTCTCTCTCCAACCTCCCACAGCCCTTCAGATGGACTCACTAATACAATTTTATTCTCTCTCTTACCATAAATATGTGTAAATGGTGTGTACATAAATATATATACATATATACACACACACACACATTTAACCTCTATAGGTCTAGCTTCCACATATGAGAGAAAACATGTGACCTTTAATTTTTTGAGTCTGGCTTACTTCACTTAACATGAAGTACTCCAGTTCCATCCATTTACCTGCAAACAACATAATTTCATTCTTCTTTATGGCTGAATAAAACTCCATTGTGCATTTGTACCACATTTTCTTAATCATTCATCAGTTGTGGAGCATATGGGCTACTTCCAAAGTTTGACTGTTGTAAATAGTGCTGCAATAAACGTGGGTGTTCAAGTGGTTCTGTCAAATCCTGGAGCACATTCCTTTGGACATATGCCCAGGAGTGGTATCGCTGGGTTGTATGGTAGTTCTATTTTTAGTTTTTTATGGGACCTCCATATTGCTTTCCATAGCAGTAGCACTAATTTACATTCCCACCAACAGTAAGCATGCATAGATTTAAGAGCTCAAGAAAATATAAAAATTTTAGTGGCCACAAGTACATTGGTCAGTTATTTCTAGGTGTCTAAATACTGTGCA